ACATAGGTTGGGTTTTGTTAAATCTTTAAATATAATTATTAAATTTGGTGAATTCCTTAAGGAATGTAAGATTCTTAAATATAAATTTGTCCCCAGAAAAAATTATTGAAATGTTATACACAGATTTTTATCCTAAAATTATACAATATAATTGTTTAAAAATTTAATTCAAGTCAAAAATTGCTAATCTGGTCCCCATTAACCATTAACATAACACGTGTCTTTTCTTAATAGTGAAGAAATAAAATTTGACATTTAAAAAATAAAAATTATATTAAATTTACAGCTAAAAAATTCACAAAAATATAATTTAGATTCCAATCAGAGTTAATACTTGTTGAATTAACTTCCAACTATGCATTTTTGTATCGCGTGCAACATAGTTAAGGAACGTGTTTCACGTGTTTCGTCTCACATTATTATTTGAAAGTTGGTCGTTGACTGCGCTCTTGAGAGATGGAACGTGCGATTCAATTTTCGCCCGCAGCCCCGCGCCTCTTGTGGCCTGGCTCGGTGAGCTGCCTTATTTAACTCTCGGCAACTCGTGCACCTCCGATAATATGCTAATTAAGCAGGGAAGATGCCGTGAAGTGGCAGTGTGTGTGTGTGTGTGTGAGAGAGAGTTGGTGATGAGCCAGAGGGAGTTGTTTGCCCAGCATAGTTTTATTCAAGTGAGGAGCTTCAAAGGCGTTTGACGAGAAGCTACTCGGAGAGCGCGAAATTTGCATTGCACCTCGGCGAAGATCCGAGCAATATATTAATTAATATTGCACATAAATGGCTGAGCCTAACTCAAGCGCGGGCTACTTAATCGATTAGAGTTTCAGTCGTTGGGGATTTGCCTGCTGGTTAATTTAATTCAGCTCACATAATTACATGGTGATCTTAGCATGCCTTACAAGATATGCTTATTAATGAATCTACAGGTCAAAAATCCAGAGGGCTTTATGAAGGCTTGAGTTAAATTTAAGCTTCTAGGTCAACGAGTGAAGACAATATATTATAATGAATAATCCTTGCAAATCGTCTGGAGTAAATAATTGTAAATTAAAAAAAAAAACTTTGCAATTTCGAAAGCATTTATCAAGGACTTGCAATTTTTCCCATTTATAATTTGATAATTTTGTTTTAAATTTGGTTGTTTATTAAAGTAATCAACAGTTTAATAAGCACCAAACGAAATTAGCTGAACCTACTAATACACATCTTTTTCTATTAAAAAGTTGCCAATTAAGTGTATTATTAGGTTATTTATTATTATCAAGTAGATAATTAAATACTTTTAGAGGAAGAAAGCAAGACATCTGAATTTACAAAAATTCTTTAAATTTCGGAATTGAAACAAAATTTAATTGTGTTATTGAAGAGAAAACTGATTTTTATCAAAATTCCTCTGGTATTTTCTCTTAATTTTTACAAATGAAATAATTTACAAGATGTGGTTTTCACTTGTAAAAAATAATGAATTTAATTGTATAAAACTTACTTGCAAATTAAAATTGAATATAATTATTATTTTTAAATTTTAAGAAATTGATCTCTCATTATATAGAGGAATTTTCCATTAAACTTACAATTAATAATTTAATGTGTAGGCGGTTTATAAGCGGCATTTGCGCAGATTCCGCCCGCGTGCACTGGTTTAAAATAGGCAGCAATCGATCATATTTTACTGCTGCGTATGTAATGTTTGCCAAACAGACAAGAATACGCGCAAGATTAATCCCTCCGAGCTGGTTATACATTCAGGCGATGGAAGTATAATTCCTCATCAATCTCTTTGTGGTGTGCACGAAAATAGCTATATATATTTCAAAGCTGAAGGTGCGCGTCAGTCGAACGAGGAAAAATAATCCACCCTGAATGAAAACACGTATGCATTTTGTTGTTGCTGTGTTTGTCGCAGGTTTTTGATTTATGAATGTGCGCTTGTTTGTTTGCAATTGTAAGTGCAAATGGTGAATGTGCTACTGATTGAATACACAGTGCGCAAATAGTGTTTTGAATTGTGGACGCTTGTTTTCAGGGAATTAATTTCTGTCGGACGCTGCACGCAATAAAAATAAGCATAGAAATTTTCAAACAGAATTATGAATAAAGAAGATGGATTAAAAAGTATAATTCATTTGAGATAAACTTAATTCTTTAAATAAAATCAGAAAAATTTGAACAAAAAAAAACATTATAATTTTATCATAAATTAAAGAAACAATGAATTTAGTCTTGAGAAAAAGTGATCTTAAAGCTAAATAAGTGATTGTTTTACATCAAAACTTAATTTTCAAGTTCTAATTTTAGGGAAACAATTTTCAAATGGATTTTGGGAGAACTTTTTAACTTCAAAATTGGTGAAAATTAGTGAAAAATTAACGATAATTCTCAAAATAAGGTAAAACTTCTATTAATATTGAACTCAGGTGATCCTCGAACAAAAGTTTTTAATTTTGAATAGCAATATACACAGTTCTTGGGCTTCTTTATGACATTTTAGTTAATTTTTACTTTTCCACACAAAAAAAAAATGATTCTTTCCACCATAGAATGGTCACCTGGAACTAAAATTTGTTATAATTCCTTTCGAACAAATTATAGCTCAAAGTTTTGTTTACATTTTGCTGTCAAAAATTTCTAATTAATTTTTAAATTGTAGCAAAAAACCAGGATAATATTTAGATATTATATTTTCCAGATCTTGTGTCAAGACACAATTTTTTCTTAACTCAATAAAAGCTTCATGAGTAGAATATTATCCTCTTGAAACAGAAAACTCACCGGCCTGAAATTCAATTCTGGAAACGCTTCTCAGTTTCAAGATTGGGGTCAGACTGGTGTGATTTAGCGAGGTCATGTGCGTCACTTGTATAACAAGGGATAAAAAATATATGAATTCGGGCGTCGGGAACAATGGCTGGTGAAAATTCAACTGTCACACACCGAGGGGCCGGACAGAAATGTGAGAGAAAGCAAAGATATATTTGATGGCGTGCGCTGTAATGATGATAAAGCGACGGCCAACAATGCCGCCGACAGCTCCAGCAGGCCGCAGATAGTTTCCACCCGGGGCCTTTTTTACAATTCCGAAGGCGCGAATTTATCCCTCTTGTGATAATAATAATAAATTTTCGATCCGCTCTCTCTCACAGCCGACGAGAGATCCGCAAATTACCATCCGTTTTATGTATATTTTTCTGCATTTTTTGTGTAGCCGCTGATTCACGGCTCAATTCCGTTTATTTTAGCACACGAGCTCGTCTGCGAAAGTGCGTTTGCGATATGAATTTGAATGGCAAATGTGGATTTCGCCGAGGCCATAAATAGTATGGCGGGAATACATAGAGTGACGATGGGCGTCGAGAGATCGCAGATCGCACATATCACACGGGCGCACAAATTCGTATATTAGATCAGAGAGGTGGAGGGATTAGAATAAAACGAATTTCGGAATCTACTCTGTATTGATTTCTACTCAAAATTCAACCTTAAATATAAAAAAGTACGTAAGATTAATGAGTTAATTTACTTCTAAATATCTGCAGAAAAAAGCATCATTTCAGGACTAAAAGACAATTTGAACCAAAAATAATCAACAAAATTTGAAGTTAAAAATATAATTTAATTCCTTTCATTGGGAAATTGTTAACCCGCGAAAATTAATTTTATTGAATTTTTTAATCATCAAATTATGCGAATAAAATGTATATAATTATTGATTTTTCGATGAGAAATACCGATTTAAATTTTGCAAAATTCAAATCAAGAGGAATGGCTACGAAAAAGTTTAAATTTTGTCATTTAAATGTCGGTTTAGAAAAATTAGGTATTTTTGCAAAAATTCAAAGGTTTTTAAAAAGAATTTATTTTCATTTTATTTCATCAATATTTAGTACCAACACTCAAGAATAAGAATTCCTCCCTAACAATGTCGTTTAAACAAATTATTAATTTTTACTGCCCAACAATCAATTAAGTTTTCGGCATTGTTGGCTTTTCAAATCGTTCAAAAACGGTTTCTTCTTGATCTTGACCGATTTCGTCATCTCCATGAACGACCCTTGGAGTTGCAGCGTCCGACCGGACAGTCCGAAAATGGACCGAGACTCTCCAAGGCAGTTCCTGGCCGCCTTTCCGCAGGGCGACCACCAGGCCTGCATCAAGAAAAAGGAGGCGTCCGTCAAGAGCGACGATGGGTCCGAAGAGGACGAGAACCTGCAGATTCAGGACCTGGTGACGCGACTGGAACGCGTCGAAATCAAAGAAGTTAATTTGGACAGCAAGCGCGGCAAGAACGGCGTCGACCACGCCACGTGGCTCAAAAAGAAACTGAAACAGAAGCAGGAGGAAAAGGCGGCCAAAGAAAGGTACATACACGAAATTACTTCATCACCGAACCATAGAATTTTTTTTTCTATTTCTTACTGAATAATTTATAAATAATTAAGTCATTTTTTTTTAAATATCGAAAAAAAAAAGGAATTTTTCTAATTTTTGTCCATTAATTCATTAAAAAAAATTGGATCTTTATCTTTGAAGCCCGCACAGTTAATGAATTGTACAATTTGTCTTTCAATTCGCAAATTTATCAATTTTAAAATTATAGAAAGTTTTACATTTTTATACGCACTGTATGGGTTAATTCATTGAATCCAATAAAAGTTCATTTTGACAGATCTTGCAGGACGTTTCAGCCTTTATTTTGATGAGATGCAACCTGCCCCACGTGTATGTAGTGCAGGTTGCATTCTTCCTATCGCTTGTTAAAAGTTGAGGCTAATCGCGTTCCAGTCCTTTTCTATTTAATTTTTTTTAAGTCAAAATGACTTCATTTTATGATTGATATGTTTTCACAAAATTTTAAAACAATCTTGCAGGAAAGCTGCACAGGCTGCCGTGGACGAAACGACGAGCCTGCAATTGGAGACGAGCCAAGAGAGTGTGGACAGCAGAGCCGCTTGGGAGCGTTGGAGGGCGGAAAAGGAGCGAGAACTGCAGAGGAAGCAGCAGTCCGAGTTGCAGAAAGTTCGCATGATGCAAATCGAAGAGGAAAAGAAGAGGCGCGACGCCAAACGCACCTACGCCCAGTGGTACCAGACGAAGGAACAGGAGCGAAAAAGCAAAAGTACAAACACCAAAATTTAATTTTTTTCTGAACATTTTTAAAATTTTGCTAAACCAGGCAACAAGGATGAGGGGAAGAGCGAGAGGTTGGCCGAGATGAAGAAAGAGGCCGGCGAGCGACGCAAGAAGCTGGGCTACAATCTGGAGTGGCGTGAGTGGTGCCGCCTCAAGAAACAGCAGAGCCTTCCCAAAAGTGAGTATTTTTTATGGAAAAAAGGCTTGGGGAAAATAGATGATTTTTTAAGAAGACAAAATTGGCGATTTTTTTTGTTAAAAAAAAATTTAATCAAAGCAATTTTCACGAAATTAGCGATTTTAGTGGAAATTTGAGCTTAAAAATATTTGATATAATTAGCAAAATCTCAGAAGTTATTTTTAAACCCAAATTTTATTTATTGAAAGCAAACCTGGCCTTCGATTTAAGTTCTTTTTTTAAAAATGTTATAATGTGTGATCAAAGTTTTCCCCAAATCTATTCATAAACTTTAAATTTTCAATTTATTCTAATTGATTTCAATTTGACAGGATTCACCTACCATGAGTACCCTGAGCCGACGTGGACTAATCCTGACCCTTGGGTCGACTAACAGAAGTAATAAATTTCCTGCAGGGAATTGTTCAGTCTGAAAGTAATTTTATTTTAAAATTGAAAACTTTGAAATTTCAATTTGAATTTTTTCTTCTTTAAAGTAATTTTTAGCTTCATGATTATTGTTTATTTAATTTATTCTTAATTACTTTTATACATTGATAATAAAAATAATTATTATTTCCATCAGAAACTTTTATTGATTTGCATTAATCTTATTTAAATATTTATTTCTCGTCTGTAGCCAAAAGGAGTTGTATTTATGCTAGAAATTATTCAACCTAAATGGCGCTCTATTTAAATATGTATTGGGTTTCAGAAAGAGCCCTTCTTGTTTGCAGACTCTTGCATGAAAGGAAAATTCCATTTATAGCTCTTAACAGACACGTATGTGGACATTTTATTACTTTTTTAATGGAACGTGTTTGCACTTTTAGCAAAAATATATTTCTATAGACGCCGCTGTGAGTGATGTTTGCCTCCATTAGCCACTCCATAGAGGATTTGCGTCACAAACGTTTTTTTTTTTTTACTCCGAAGTATGGAAATGTTTTCAATAGTGGGCGACTTTTGTATGAAAAGCAGGGCTAGTTGGGCCCGAAATAAATTCCCATCGGCTTGATTTGTCCATTCAATGCGGATTTTCTTTTCAAGCAGGCATGGGAAGCGTGTCGGCCGGAACTCTTTGCCGAGTAAATTTGTTTTGCCATCATCTCCATGACAAAAGGGGCAATTTTGCGAGAAAACAATCTCGGGACTTTGCGTCTCTCGGCTGACGAATGTGACAGACACAAAAATGAAAGCGGCGACAAAAAGGCACCAGGGGCCTTTCACTCAGCGGAAATTTACTCATAAATCTGCAAACGCGCGTTCATTTTGCGCCCACCACCCTAGGCAGGTTTATAAGAACGGTTCACAGCGGAAGAAAAAAAAACGTGCATTTCTTTCTTGTTTCTTTACAAAAAAATAATTATAAGGGAACAGAAAAAGCAATAAAAAATACAAAATACTGATGGGGGAAAATTGCAGTTTAAAAATTTGAATTAGAATGAAATACAATTTTGTTAAAGTTTAAGAAAATTAAATTAAATAACGAAGATTATTATTATTTTGTTTAATTTTCTACAGAATTATGTCACTTTTAAAATAAATTTTTACAAGTCAATCACTAGAGAAGGAAAATTTAAATTTTGCAGATATAAAAGCCCATCAAGGTTTGAAAAAGTTACAAACAATTTTAATAGTTTTTTTACTAGAGAATGTATAAAATTAAAACGATGATTAATGTTGTTTTATCATAAATTTTATGACAGTACCATTGTAAAGGAGAATTTTCCGGATTATTTATGTTTTTTATGTAAAATACAAAAATTGTGCTTTTAATTTAAAATGCTCGTGTTTTTGCTTTCGCATTTATTTTACGGCGGATTTTCCCTTTTTTTTACGTTGTTTGGAGTTTTCGAAAAGTAGATTCCATCTGCGGAAACCTATTCCGAGCGTGCGGAGTTGTGTATAATTTGCAGAAATGTGCTTAGCTGCAGCAGAGGCAGCGTGTTCAGGGTCTGGCGCGCGCGTCACACTCGTTGCCTCTCTCTTGACTAATCCTAGAGGACCGCCGGCGTAGATTATATTGCTCTTAGCTATTCTCTTTTATCTCCACGGCGGAATTCCCCGCGGCAATGAAAACGCCGTCTTCTGGCCCCGAGCATACATATGTGCACTTAAAAGCACTTGATGAAAATTTGATTCAAACTCAACGGACTGTGCAAAGTTTGAAATTTCCCTATTTAGCCCAATGTACAAAATACACAGGTCTGCACAAGTCTATAATTTTTTGTAAAAATTATAAAGAAAAAAAATGCACAACTGCTTGTTTGGTCTCTTAAATTGCATTTTTTTTTTTAAGAGAATAAATTATTTTAATAGAATAAATTATTTTAATAGATTTATGATGAATGGTTTTAATTCTTGAAAAAGTGAAAAATTTACAAACAAAAAAGGAGTATTTTTTTATCCACACTTTTGATTTTAATTATTGTTGAAATCGTGGTTATAATTTTATTTCATCTTCTGGGAATTTCCACCAAAGCATAGCATTTGAGAGGCTTTTGAAACAAATAATAATTGGATGCATCTCACCTCCCCCTTTATAACTTTCTGCTCGTCTCAAGCCATCTCATTTATTCCATCAGAATATGTGTGACGAGTTTGTTCGACGAATCTGTGTTTACCCAGTGTTTACTGGTTTCATTAATCGTGTCAAGTGCTACAATTAACGCTTTAATGAGCACGTTTTAACGACCAGGATTGTAATCGGAAAACACATCCGCAGCTGCTGTTGAAAGGTAATAATTATATACTCATGTTGTTGGCGCGAAGTCTCTCTTTTGGTCTGGCAGATATTCTAATTAAGTTGATGAGAAAACTTGTGCAATTGTAAATAGACTAGAGATGTAGTTGAACAATTGCTTGATGAATAAATTATGGACTCATCTCAAGTTTCAAATGTCGAAATTTAACTGTAAGAAAATAATTAATTCTCCTAAAAAAAATTAAGCAGTTTTGAAAGAATTATCTTAGATTACAATTATGTTGATTCATAAATCAGTAAGTATGCCTATATTTTTTAAATTTCTTTCACCAAAAATTTAATAAATCCTCAAAAAAACTGAGATCAAGTGCGAAACATCAAAAGTAAATCGAGGATAGCTTTTCTTCTTTTTCTTTCTACCTCTTTTTGTTTTTGTACCTCTTGAACTTCCGTATATATTGCGCAGATATAGGCTTTGTGCAGTTTCTGTTTTGTTTCATGTTTGACTTTTGGAATTCATCAGGGGCTCGCCGTAGGCAGCGAAAAGCTCATTTCTTCTGCTCTCTTCTCGAGCGCGCGCTCTCTCAGTCAGTCTTATCTAAATCGCAACGCGAGACGTGTTTTGCATCACAATAAAAGCCAAGTCCCATTCCTCTGGCGCATCTCGTTCTCAAACACGGCCATTGCGGAGTAGAAGAACAAATCCTCGCGGGGCGTGTGGGGGCTGTTTAATCGTAAACTCCGCGAGAGGGAGATAAAACGACTGCGCTTTGCATAACAATAACAAAAGCGAAATTTTCTGAACGGATCGTGAAATCTTATCTGCACAAGAGATTTCTCATTTAAATCTAGAAAGTTTCCTCCGAAAAATTATTATGTTAATTTGTAAACTCCCATTTGCTCCAAGCAAATGGAGCATGAGAAATCATAAAGATTCAAGAGCATTTGAGCTTTTTAAAGTTACGATGAGTAACAAGCACATGAGTCAAATTTAATTGTCTGAAAGACTGAATTTTTTCATAAAATTCAATGTTTTTTTATCTCATTAACCTTTGAGATGATCAATCTAAAGAAGGGAATCTGAAATTTAATTAATATGATACGAAGCGCAAATTAAATTTCTGCAATCTAAACAGAAAAGTCTTAAATATTGATTTCCAGTTTCAATCGGTCAACAGGAAAGCCTATATTTAAAAAAAAAAAAAACAGACCTTATTGAAGAGGTGGTCTTGACTCCGTGATGATGATTGGGGTTTCATGCTCTCCTGATGAGGGGCTTTCTTGAAAACGTTCCCTTTAGAAAACTTCGGCACACTTTCCTTGTTTCTGCAGCTCCACAGACTGAAACTAAAATTTCAATTGTTCATCAAAAAGAATGACGACTGAATTTATTAGAAAATCAATTATGTATTTATAAGATTTCAAAAGAAAAAAAAACATAGATGTTACTTGTGATTTTTGAGCCTAAAAAAGAATGAAATAAAAAATGCTATTGTTAATTTGATGCGATTTTACCAGTGAAGCTTATTCAATTGTCCTCTTTGACGAGAGCCCACGCCAGTGACAGTACTCAAGGGTGCTGTAGCCAGGCAACCCAGCAACCGCAAACAAGGGTTTTTGCCCCGGCCATTTTATCAAAAACCCTGTGGAGGGTTCTTGAAGGTTCTGGTCCTCGCCAGCATTACAGCTTGCTAAACTGACCGCAGACTCTCCGGAACAAGGAGCTCATGAAGAATCTGGATGGTTCCAACCAGGATCGCGCCCTCTCCAACCTTTCCTGCCTCCAAAGACACCGGCCACACATACGTCTCAAAGGACGCTTCCAGTTGCAGGGAGGGTCGGTCGCAGAGACATGTTTAGCGCCCGAAAGCGGATTATGTCCCGCCATCCCAAGCGCCAACTCCAACAGGATCTCTCTTCAGATTTCAGAAATCCTGTAAATAAAAAAATGCATCACAATTTCGTAACCAAAAAATTGGAATTTATATTTACTGAAAATATAATATTAAGTATTAAGATCACACTTACCGATTATTCGATTGAAACGAGAGAATTTGCAGTCGATGTGGCTGGTTTCGGCCTCTTTCTCAGGTTAAGGGTCGGTACACGTGGTGTGGCACGCCACCTGTGCCCTTCCAGGTCTCCTGCAATTGAGCCTATGAAGGACGCTATTCCAGATGCAGTCTTTAATATCCACGCAGAATTTGGCTCCTGCAGACAGCATATATATGTTTGAAAAATTAATTTAATGAATCCCACCACGTGAGGGATTTTTTGCAGTCGAAATTCATGATGAGTTTGCCTCTCATTTTCTCATTTTGCTTTCCTTCCTACGAAATAAAATGGAACGAAATCTTTTGAAGCATTTTAGCTTCTATATGAAAATAAAAATGCAAAAAATTTAGTAGCATATGAGTGAAATACCAATATATGTGTATGTACATTAATTTTTTTACATTTTACGGAGCTTTACGGTCGATTTAGGGAACGTTTTCAGCCCGAAACTCCAGCTTCTGCCATAGCTTTTGAATTCCCGATGGTCTTGAAGGACGATTTTGGTCTACAAACACTTTCTTTGAGGAAAATAGTCACAGTGTTAACACAAAGAGTCACGAAGCACAGAAAAAGTACGAACAGAAACAATAGAAAGGAAGATCCAGTAGACTGAACACCTGGAGTACCTGGACTGTGGAGGGCGGGAAAACGCTGGAACAACAACAATAGCCAACCAAAAAAACTTTCGCGTTGAAATGAATTCCGCAAAACGTTTTAGAATAATTTTGATATCCATCACGTCTGAAATTGCTGAAACTTTTACTTAAAATTTCAAAATTAATCAATCGTGTATTTTAAAAGCGGCAAAATTGTAAACAATTGAAAGCAATTTGTTTTTTTTTTATGTTGCCTACACTTGCAAAGAATTTCTGAGAATTTTTGCAATCAGAATTGGCGGGTATTTAGGCGAGCTATATTCGTCAGATTTATCACTAATGCAGAAATGATTTTGATTTATTTTATTTACTGTCTGGACTGACTGAAGTATCCGTTTCAACTCTACTTCAGCGGCGGTTTCTGAAAATCCAGAATAAGAAAAACAATTTAATTAAAATTAAATTTAATAAATAACTGAATAAATAACAATAAAAAACTGAATATTAATATAAAACTGAATAATATTGATATTGAAAAAGAACGTGTGCAACACTTACCACTAACCCTTACAGAAAATAGTTTTTTTTTTTAATTTTTTGTAGAAAGGATCCTCATATTTTTTAAGGTAAATGGAAATAATGTTCGCAGTGAATTGCAATAATTAATTATATTTTGTAATTTGAATTTTTCAGGGTTCAGATAATTTTGCTAATTTTTTCAATTCTTTAATAAAAAATATAATATGTAATATGATATTTTTTAACAAAATGTGCTTGAAACGCGTTTTGCAGACAACTCGATCCATTGCGGCTACTGCGATCATCGAACTTAGGATTTTATTTTTTTCAACTAAAACTAAAGCCTAGTATAGAGAAACAATTATTAATCCTTGACCATCTAATTAATTACACGAATCCTTTTCCTGCTTTTACACGTTTGCATTGGTAAAGTTAATGCCAAAATTCAAGCAGTGACCTGGCCTAAATTAATTGAGCGCAAGAAAAGCTAGAAAGATTTTTGCTCCTTCTCTTTACCTGTTTACCACCTGTTGATGAAGTTGTTAAGAAGATAAAACTTATTAATATTCCATTTTGACAAAATCAGACAAAATATGCAAAAAAAAATCATGAGTATGTAATAGGAAAAAATTACTTAAGCAAACAATTTATAGATAAACCAAATAAAAAAAAAAGTTGGAAAGGAAAAAACATTTTTTAAATTATTCATATTGGAATAAGAAAGAAAACAGGAAATTATAAAATCCTGTAATAAACCATTTGAACTGTGCAATCAAAGAAAAAAATTGCAATTTGCCGCAGTATAAATCGTATAAATATAAAAGCAAAGCCAAGTGATTTTTTTTAAAAATAATATTTTTAAATTTGAATTTGCGTTAAACTTGTGATAAACTTTTGATCCTCTAAATGGAAACAAAAAACTACGTTACACCTATACCTTGTTTAATTGTATGCAAATTAGGCAAATTAGCAACGAAACCTCCTCTCTCTCTCTCTTAGCTCATTTTCTACAAGAGGCTAAGGTGAACAAACTGGCAAACACTAATTATGCAATATAACGCTGCTATAGCAGTCCCTGCGAGAATGACGAAGAGGGTTTTCGGAGAGTGATGTGGGTGCGCGCAAGTTTAATGCACAGCCAAACTTTGCAGAGCCAAGTAGTTTTTGGTGGAATGCTTGCTTGGGACTTGGGGAGCACTTGTCATTAAAACCAGCACTCTGCTCGCCCTTGAGCACCTAATTATTTGGGGCCGCTCATTTATTATGGAAACCTCATTTGAGTGTGCGTTCCTAGTCCGCGAACTGCTGCCGAGAGTTGGCGAAATTGAGTTTTCAAAGACAATCAGCTCTGCGGTGAATAATTCAATTTTGGCCCGCAGAGGGAATGTACTTTGATTGAATTGACAATAAGATTGGCATGTGTATTTATACCTGCGATGACCCCGACATAGACAAAAGGCACGAGAGTAATTAAGAATATGTACTCATGGGTAGAACTCTCTTCAATACTAATCAATAGGTGCAGATCTAAATCCAGAAAATTTCATTGAATAAAAAAAAGTGACGTTAATATTCTATTTAAAATGCATAGAAGGCATCAATTGGTAACAATATCAATACTAAAACGTTGATTGTTTCTCAAGTCAAATTTTCTTTATTGGCTTTGACTCTGATGTTTATAACAAGCATTATAAAATTTAAAATTAAATGTCAAACTCTTTGTGTTTGAAAGACTACAAGCAAAAGGAAGCTCATATCGGAAGAATCATAAGAACAGGAAATTTGATTTTAAATGCTTAAACTTCAAATATTGCATTAATGCAACAGAAACAGTAAATTCTCATATGATGTATAGCTTAGCTTTCACCAAAGAAGAGTCTCAAAGCACCCTTTGCAGCAGCTCGTTTTGCCTCATGTTTGTTGGCACCGCTCCCGACACAGGAAACTTTCTCACCATTCTTGTATATCACAATTTTGACCTGAACACCATTAATTCCATCAATGCTGTATGGCTTCCTAGAATGTGATATTTTGATTTATAGTTTTTTTTTACATGGAATATTTTTTCTACTTACCCAATTTCAAGATCATGTGCTGCGACACTCTCGTGCAACTTTCGAACAGCATTTTTAGGCACTGTGGTACCAAACAGATCTAAAACAAAATAAATTTTTAATGGAAGGTGACAAAAATAATTAAAAAAGCGTACCAATTGCAAATTTCATCAGAGGATAGATAACTCTCCACGTCTCCACAAAATCTTTACCACAGTCCAAGAAAACGGCTCCGACGATGCTTTCAAAAATATCGCCCAAGACCTTTGGAACTTCCAGCGCAATTCCAATGCTGACGTTGCATTCTTGAATCAGCAACAGATGCTAAAATATGAATAAATTAACAGTTCAGAAATTATTCAAAATAAAATAGAGCTTAATTACATCATCACTAATTTTGTGGTTGTTTCTCTGTTGGAACTCGACAAAATTTTCAATTCTGCTAGCAAGGGTTGGATTATTTTCCAACAGGAATGTGTGGAATCCATATCGGACAGCCAGAGATGCAAAAGTGACATTGTTGACCAGAGCAGATCTTAGATCAGTCATTTCACCTGGGTTGAGGTGAGCAAACTTCTCATAAATGTGAGCAGTAACGAGGAAGTCTGAAAGTGGAAATTTGAATTTTTTGTTTTACAATTTGTGAACTCAAATTACCTAAGACTGCGTCTCCTAAGAATTCCAACCTCTGATTTGAGTTGGTCAGTCTGTTTAAAACGTATGAAGGGTGTGTGAGGGCCTCCAGCAAGAAGCTGCAGTTTTTGAACTTGTAGTCGAGGACAGTTTCCAATTTCTCTGCTTCAAGCAGGTGCAAGTTGGAAAAGCTCTCAGGGTCAGGGATTGTTGCATTTTTTATGTTCGATGGGACAGGATCACTCATGATACTCTTGGCAGAGTCAGGCAGAATTCCGAACCAAGTCACAACAGATGCGGCCAAAACTGGTCCACACGTCTCAATGTACGAACCAAGAACAGCTTCAACACAATCAGCAATGTTCTGATGGAGAAATGAGAAATTATAAAAGTATCTCAAATATTAACCAAGAGCAAATACCTTGTCTGGGATCACAAGCTGGTTCAAGAATGCAACAAGAGTTGTCTCACTGGGATTGTCTTCCTCGTAGTTTTCAAATACCTCGCGAATGTACTGCACGTTAATTTCTCCTGAGAATTTTTCCTCCTCATTGAAAACAATAGAATTCAAAACACCAGGGCTGATTTCAGATGCATTGATCAGGTAGACAAGTTTATTAGGCACACTCAAATTTGGAACCTTTTAATAAAAAATAATTATAGTATTTGAGCTTTCTTAATTCCAAAAAAGTATTACCGCCCAGTCAGATTTTGGCTCAAACTGTTTGTGGTTCAAGATGTTGGGAATTCCCTTTTTGAGGGCGCAGTAGAGGAGGTTCCTGTTTCCAACCAGTTTACCTTTTGCCTAGAAATAATTAAAAGTAAAAATAAATTATTTATAAAATATTTCTAAAATTACATGAGTCAAAATCCCTTCCGACACATCGTAAGTTGTAAATAGGTACAAGGAGGTAATCAATTTCAGGTATGCATCCCCAAGGGTTTCGAGTCGTTCCATGTTCACCGAATCATTGGCAGACGTTGTGGTGATTGCGGCATACATTGTCCTCAACTCGGGTCCTCTTTGCAAACTTTCCTCGTCTGGAGTTAGCATTTTGATTGGGTAAACAGTGACACTTTGATCTCTAAAAAAGACATTAATTATTTTGCTGAGATACGCCAATCTAAAATTAATACCTTTGAAAAAAGTAATCATTGTCTTTTGTAGAGAGGTTTTTATCCTGCACCAGAGAGGACGAGGTGAAGGCGGAAAATTCCTCCAGCTGGCCCCAACTGACGCCTTCAAACAAAAGTTTGTCAGGGTCGATAGGGTCCTTCTCTCCCCACGGACAATTGCTTTCATTCACTTTAGGCACATGACATTGAAGTCTCGGCAAACCAAAGCCTTGTGACTTGGGACTGGTCTCAGCTACAGGAGCCTTTCTCGTCGGCAGGGCAATAAAATCCTCCCATTTGGCCACTTCTACAGAGCCGAGTCTGCACTCCCTGTTGATCGAAGAGCGCAGGTCGTTGGCATGAAGAAGGACGCTTGTCCTGTGCAAAATTGAAGGCAGGAACACTGCCTTCAGCCAAATCTCAGCACTGACTAGGTGATTGTGTCCGGAGAGCCGACAAAGCTCTGGAATGAAGATCTCGGCAAATTCGTCGTTCTCGTGCATAGCTTTCCTCGTAATTACCAAAATCTCTCCCCTGAAATTTGCAAGAAAAAAAAATATTAAATTATTTTAACGTTACAAAAATACTTACTTTGGGTTAAGGAAGTTAAGTTTGGCAGTGATTTGCTTGACGCTGACCAAAGGTTGGGTTAAAATTTTCACCTCGGCACCCCACTTTTCAGAAAAGTATTGCTTGTATGAATCATAGTTATTTGGAAATGGGGTCATTGGGCTTGCATCAAACTGAACTTCAGTTACAAGATAGTTCTATATAACAAACAAGAATAATCTAGTAATATTAGAAATCTTTGATAATTACGCCGACTGATTTGGTTCTGTAGGTTGGAATGATCACTTTGAGGTGCAGATCATCAAATCTGGTAATTTCTTCAGGAACATGATTCACTGAGAAGTCTCGGCTCAACTTTACTTCATCCAGATCCCCATCTAAAATAAATTACTGCAAACATTTCCTTTTCTCAAAGAGGCACAATGTTGTTACCTTCGGTAACAGGAGCAATGAGAAAATTATTTGAGCCACTTTCAAAGTTCCAAACCAAAAAGCTTTTGTCCAACTCCAACAGTTTGCCAAAGAGGAAACTGTGGAAAGCTTTGATTTTGTCCAATAATTGCTGCTGGAGTGTAACTGCGTGCACTCTGCGTCCAATGGAAATGTCAACTCTTCCAGCATTGGTGAAAATAGGGAATTTGCAAATCTGGAAACTTAATATTTAGAAATCGGACAATAAATGCTAAAAGAATTTCACCGTTGGCAATTTCTTAGAGGCTAGGATGGCAAAGTTCTCATTTTTACTGCTGAGCAGTTCGAGGAATGTCTTCCGTCGTTGGTCGTCTGCAGGAACATTGTACATTGGCTCAATATCAATGCTGTGCACAAAGACCTCAGATGCTGATCCTGGAGCGCAACCAATAAACGGAGATGGTGCCTAATGAGCAAGAAATTTGAAGTTTAATTTTATTAAATGAGGAAAGAGAATTCTCACTTTGACCATGTGCACTCTGCGCCTGTTTTTAGTGCCAGGATCAGGTAGATCAGGATGCTTGTCATCCTTAATCCAGTTGGGGAACAAAATCGAGTCTGTTATAATATCCGCTTGGACTTTTGAGTAGCAGCTCCGCAAATTATCATCCAGCTGGCCGGCTAGGTGGAGTTGCTTGATTGCTTCAAGTGCGCACTTCTTCTTCGCAAGCTGAACTCGGGTGCTGACTGGCCCTTCGATAGGGTCGACTAAACTCGACTGAATGGGCAAGAGGACACAAACAAATTTCTCTGACAGGCTGACCTTTTTACAGAACCAAATTGGAGCTGGAATGGAGAACCTGTCGGCTCCCAAGGTGTAGCAGTATCTGAAATATTATGGGAAATAATTAATTCCTCCTCCAAAAAAATCTATCAATGCTGACCTGTAGAGCATACTGATGGAATTCTCCGATGTAGCCATAGCACCAGCAGGAGTAACATAAGTGGCAACATCATCGATCACAACATCCTCCAACTCTTCAACTTGTTGCAGCTAATTGATTAATTGAATTGATCAGAAAAAGATTTTAATTATTTGGTGAAGGCCAACCTCTTGCAATTTGTCCTCCAGTTGTTCATAGATTCTCTTTTCATTCTTGAAATTCTTTTCTGCCAGTTTTAATTGGAGCACAACATACTTTCCATTCCTGTCTCGGGCACGTCCCTTGCTCTGGATGAAGGAGCAGAATGTCTTGATTGTGTCAAACTTGATGACCAAATTGCATGACGGAATATCGATTCCTTCCTCCAAGATGTTCGAGGCTACCAGCAAGTTGAGCTCATTTGAGGCAAATCTAAAATAAGACGATGATTTCAGAAATTCTTTTTTAAATGAATTTAAAGTTGGCTTTACTTGAAAACGCTCTTCCTTGTTTGTTTATCTAACAAGAGAGACAGATAAGTGCAGTAAGCATTCTCGGCTTGGCCGACAATGTAGTCTGGTTTAATTTGTGCAAAGTCAGGATCCTTCAGACTCAAAATCTGAAAAATTGAAATATAAATTTCTCAGGTTTCAATACTTAATAGTTTACAATATACCTTGATGATGGTATACAAGATTTTTGCACTCAGCCTCCTCTCCACAAAGATCAAAGTTTTGATAGCTCCAGTTTCTAAAATTTCAGCCCGCAGTCTCTCAATGCATTTCAGTACTTTTGGCGACGAGAATTTGTTGATTTGCTCCAACGAATCACTGGCCTCTTGACTCATAGCAGATTCAATCAAATGCCTTTAAAATGAAAAAGTAAATAAAATCATTTTATAATTATATACTCGGCATACCTGATGACTTCCAACTGAGACATAACCATTGCGTACAACTGTCTTGCTTCCTCGATCTCGGCAGCATTGGCAAGGCACTGCAACCTGTTGCGGTGGCACTGAATGGCGATACTCCCTCCAAAAATCCCAAACTCTTCTATCTCTACCAAAATATCTGTCAACTGGCGCTGGATTTTTCTAAAGAAAGCGCCAGGCTTCACCATTGGTTCGCCAGGTGCCAGTATTACAAGTTCAGGGTCAACATGAAAGCTGCAGAAGTGTTTAGAGTGAAATTTAACAAAATTATCTAAAAATTTATGCTGAATATACCTAACAGTTAAGCTTTCCATCTTCAAGTCATTCTCTAAAAGGGTAATCAGTCTTTTCACTGTTTTCATAACATCATGATGTTGGACGGGGTCACACTCGATGATTTCAATTTTTGGGTCAGCATACATCCTAAAGAAATGTATTGGTTAAATCAATGATAAAAAAGTCAAAAAAATTACCCCTTGATCAACTCCAATGAGTCAAGTTTCACTAGTTTGCTGTGCAAGTTGCTCTCCAAAGAGGCAACTTCTTTCTCTAGTTTGTCTGGAGCAATATTCTTTTTAATCAAAGTGGCAGTCAAACCAAGAATCCTCGGCATCCCCGGCTGGTCCTTGTAGTGCATTCGCATGATCTAATTATCAATTTAAAAAGGAGAAAAATGTAATATAGGAAAAATTCGAACCATGTTCATGGGGTGATTGGCTGTGGCATGGTGACATTCGTCAAAGACGAGCAAGGCGACTTGGCTCAACTGCAGGAACCCTTTGTCCAAAATGTCCAGCAGAATTTGACTGCCCATCACTAAGACCTATAAAGTTGAAAGAAAACTCTACCAATTATGCATACAATTGTAAATAAATAAGAGACTGACCTGATTTTTTACAAATTCCTCTGTCCACTGATCTTTGTCCCAAAATTCAACCTGCATGTAGCCATTGTAGGATCCAATGGCAAAGGGTGTGTATTTCCTAAGGACGTCCGCCTGTTGGTCGACCAGAGCAACTCTCGGTGCTGTGAAAATGATCCTCTTTCCATTTTCTAAAAAAGGCCTATGGAAAACAATAAATATTGAATAAAACTCTATTTTAGAAATAATAGCTTATCACCTTTTGATTTCGTCATGAAAACGTTTGATCACCACAATTGAGATGTAGGTTTTGCCAGAACCAGTTGGCACATAGACGATGGAGTTGCTTTCAAAGGCAGTTTTTGCCATTTGAATCTGAAAAAAAAATTCAACAGATAAAAACTTAATCAGAGATATATGAAAATAATACAAACATCATTATCAAAAATTTTAAACGAAGCGAATTTTCTAAAATTACAAAAAAAAAATGCATCCTACTATACCTGATACTCGCGATGTTCAAAACTATGTTCAACAGCTTCATCTTCCAAATCTTTGCGTTCAGTCGTGCGCCTTTTCTTGCCAAATTCAGAATCCTCTTCTTCTGTCATGTCTACTTTGTGTTTTAAGCCGGAACTGCAATCAATATCAGCCATGATTTTATTTATGCATTGCAAAAAGTTTGATAAGAACTCAAGAAATGCCGGGGAACGGGGAAGTACCAAATTTTGTTGTACTTACGCCTCATTCGTAAAAATAACACTCTCCGGTGCAACTGCAAAACAAAAAATTTAACATTGTTGATTTAACATCTCACATGGCCAACCACGCCCACATGGTTGCCCACATGTTTATGGAAAAGCGCAAGGGGTGTACGGATAGGAGATACTTTTTTACAAAATTAAATATTTACATTTTGGAATGAATGCTTTAAAAAATGCAAAATCTAGAAGTCAAAAGTAAAATTTAAATAAAAAATTGTAATTTGTCTTTTAAAATCTGAGATTTTACAATTGATTTTCCATTTAATTTAGCTCTGATTATTCAAATCTTTTGTTTACACTCCATTCACTCAGTGTTTTCAATTGAACAAGTTTTGCAATCGGTAATATTTTCGGGACGTCAATTCTGAAATTTGAAGACTTGATGCTTGCCTTTTGTCGAAGGAGAGCTTTTTCCCAAGTGTTCGCCCTCTCAGTCAGAGATCTAAGCGTGCGAATGGAGTCCACTTTAGGCCCTGTCGCTCAGAAAATCGAGAGCAAAATTCAAACGGGAGCTGAGCCGCACCATTTGGAAATCATAAACGAGTCCTACATGCACAATGTTCCCAAAGGCAGCGAAACGCATTTCAAAGTCGTGGTCGTGTCCAGCAAATTCGAAGGAATGCCGCTGATTAAGGTACACGGCATGACAATCTTGTCATTAGATCTAAATTATTAAGTGTCATAAACACGTCTTGACCATTTTCTTTTGCAATATGGTAATAAAAATTATTTTATGTATTTGCAGAGACACAAGTTGATTTACGGACTGTTGGAGGAGGAAATGGCCAGCGGAGTGCATGCTCTCGCAATTGAGGTTGGAATTTTCCCCTTTTAATTTTGCAATTTCCATTTTAATAAATATGTCATCTTTGTCAACAGGCAAAGACTCCGAGTCAGTGGGAAAACAGCGATCAAGTTGTGAAATCTAGTCCGGCATGCAGAGGAGGATTCGGAAAGTAGGCAAGAGTCATCTTGGCAGTTAATAAGGTATTTATTATCAAACTCCGATCTTACAATCTTCAGCGTAGAATATATAATTTGCGAAGAGAAAAAAGTTATTTCAAAATATTTGATAGGGTTAAATGCACAGATTATATAATTTGCTTTGGAAAGACACAGCTCGAAAAATATGCGGATTTTAAACGTGTTATAGAAGTAGTTTTAAATGCAGAAATTGCGGAATTTCGTGTGGATTAAACGTGCTTTGGTGTGAACATGAGCATCCTGGTAAGCATCGTGGTGGTGCAGGGAATCTGCTTGTTTCCGTGCATGTTCGGGTCGCTCGACTGCGACTCAAAACCCATGGCAACCTTTTGAGCCACCAGAGTCATCAGGGTGAGGAGATCAAGGGTGGTGCCACTGCGACGGAAAATTTCGCACAGGGCCTGCATGAACCAGGAGCCTCTGTTCACATTTCGCCAAGAATAATAGCCTGAAATTAAACGAAAAGATAAAGTTAATGATGTACCAGAATTAAAGATTAAATTTGTAGCTGAAACACCAAATTAAAAACTGGCTCAATTTGGAGTTGGATTTAATTTGAAAAAAAAATGAAGATTTTTACGAATTTAATCACTTAAAACCTTTTTAAATAAAAATTAGCTTTGATTTTTAATTTATTCCAAATTAAAAATCTAAATAAGAGAAACATACAAATTAAAAAAGGGATTTATCAATATTTTTAAAATTTGAAGTGTTATTTTGATTGAATACTGACAAAATTATTTTTATGCATCCGGATTAAATTTCTTTAATCATTCAATCTTTTTTACACAAATTTCTTTTAAACTTATCAAATTAAATTATTTAAGGATTAAATTAAACTTTATATTACCAGGCACAGTTGAAAATGATATGAGAAAGTCAGCGTATGTAGGGATTTTGTACCCTATCTCAGATTTGTAACCATCATGCTGGGTGGTGAGCATCACACCCCTATCCAGTCTATCACCCTGACAAGCCTGAAAGAATTAAAAAATTAAGCCTCTTGTTAATTAAATTTGATGAAAATTTCTACCTGAATGAAAAACAGTTTAGGCTTGCCGGCGAGGGTCGGGCACTTGTCAGCTGTGAAAGGGTTCCAAAGAAGTTCAGGCTTGTACTCAGTGTCCTTGGCGTACAAAATTTTGTCCTCGCCGTGGGAAAGCACCACAATGGCAATGCAGTCAGCATCAGAGTGATTTTCTTTGGCAGCTGAAAATTTCCCAAATTAATTTCAAATCAAATTTATAAATTTTATTTTACCTTTATTTACGACGTACTCGATGTCGCTCAAGATGAGGTCCTTGTGCAGCGTGACGTCGAACCCGAGAGCCTCGAAAGTGTCCCTCAGATTCTCTCCGTCCACGTTCGTTCCATTTCGGACGGATAAATTGCTCATGTTGAAGAACTCGTGGTTGAAAATGATGGCCTTTCCACGACGGTTGTGCGTCATCTTGTAGTAGAAATCGTGCTTCTCCACCGACGCCTTGGCCAATCCAAGTTTATTCTGACTGGAAATTGAAAAAAAAGTTTAATTTTTTTCCTGCAATTATATTTTAAATTAGTTTGTCATTTTTATAAGGAAAAAGTCGGAATAGGTGCGGAGTGATGTCATCGAACCCGCCAAGTTAAGATTGCATGTCCCAGTATTGATCACGATAGCCCGCTCGGAAACAACCGCGCACTGGAAGTTGCGAAATTCCACTGCGGAAGGTCCGACGGGGTCGACGAACTTCCAGATTTCCTAAATTTTTTCAGATTAGAGTAATTTTGGACATTTGTATACCTGCCGAAGCCCCAGGCGTCACCCTGGTCGGCGCCGTTGTTGTCGGCCGAGGATTCCTCGGCGGTCCTGTTGTCGGACGAGTCTAGCTGCGACATTGTCCCTTTTTCCTTGGAGCACCGGACGAACGGAAAGAATCGACCTTTTTCCCACGCACTGCCGAATACCTTCTTCGTTTTGAATCGCGCCGAGATATCTCTTGATTTCTTTCGAGAGGTGTGTGTGACGCAGACCTACTGACTTGAATGCTTTGCTTATTGCGAGTGGCGACCACAACAAACAACAGATGCGCGTGTCCAAGGCCGACTGGAGGGAGAGGTAGGTCGGCGCGCCGGCTGCGCCACTGCGCGTTGACTCACCCGACGATGTTGCTGCGCAGTCACGATCGACCTGCCTTGGGTCCTTTACCTTTACCTAGACTTTTTTTATAAATAAATGATGCAATAATTCGCAATTTTTAATTAAAACACAAAGAAAGGTGGAATTTTTATATTAAATACAGGTGAAAATTCAGTACTTATCATTTGAATAATTCCAAATTTCAAGTCAATTAATTATTTATTCATAATTTAAACTAATTGGATTGCAATTTTTTTACAATTTTAAATAACAGATTTTAAGGATTTTTTTTAATTCGATTGCATTTCAATTGAATCAAGATCTATTTATTATTCTTATTACAGATTTAATGACTAAATTATAAGCCCAGGGAAGAACATTTTTTTTGCTTATAATATAAATGTAAATCCTGATAAAACGCTTTTTTTTTAAATATGCAAATTTAATTTATTTTTTAAATATAGCATTTTATAATTTTGTAAAATTTTAATTGTCTACTATTCTGCCTATTTTGTGATCTAATTATAAATTTATGAGATACAAAACTCAATCTTCCTGCTCTCCCTCTTTTTATTATTTAGAAATTACAATTAATATTGTTTGTTTGAAGAAATTGTCACTCGAGGAAATGTGGAGATCGGGCTTTTCCTTGTTACAGAAATTGTTTTTTAATAAAATACAAATGGCTCTGTTATTTGTCTTTGAATAAATAAAAAACAATTTCTGCAACGATGTAAAGCCCGATCTCCACATTTCCTTAAAAAAAAATAATGATAATAATTAATAAGTAATAATAAAACTATCTAAACTATGCAATTTTTTTGAGTGAATATTTTTGAGCATTTTCATCTTTTATTTTACTAGTTTTCTTCTTCTAAGTTTTAAGGATTTATACTCGGAGGAGCCAAAATTAAATCCTTTGTCAAACTTGAAGTAAAATACGAGGCCTGTTTAACCCTGGGATGAAATTCATTTGCGATCTCCACGTCAGTCTCATTGCATTCCAAGGCAATCGCGCGGTTCACTTTGGTCATCCATTGGAAAATACTCATTCTATGCGTTTCCTCTTTCTCAAGTTGGTCGCACAATTTCTGGATGAACCAGCTCCCGTCTTCAGGGTGTCTGAAAGCCACATGACCTGTAAAATTATTAAGATTAATAATTGAAATTATTCATTTTTAATTAAATTGTTTACCTTCTGAAGTTGCGAATGCGAAAAAGAAATCAATTCTATTTGGAATTATGTGGATTCCCGCGGTTTCCTCTGTCAAATCTCCGATTCCGTCAACCGCAATGCTGCATTCGGTTCCTGTGTCCACCTTGCTTCCTTTACATGCCTAGAATGAATTTTTTCTCAATCAATTTATGAAAATCAATTATGTAAATTTACTTGGATAAAGAAAAGTTTGGGTTTTCCTGCGAGTTGCGGACAATTGCTGGTCGTGAAAGGCTCGCACAAATCTTCGATGGTGATGAATTTGTCACCCTCCACCGTGTAAAGTTTTCCATGTTCATCACCATGAGACAAATAGCAAATTATTAGACAGTCTTCGTCAGCCACATCAGGGTCTTTTTTAACTATATACAGAGAAATAAATAAAATTATTAAAATATTTTACCTAAAAAAATTCGCTCGAGAATCTCTTTTTGTGCTGATTTTTTTAATTAAAGAACAAAATTAACCCAGGCTGACAGGCTCAGATACATTTATTTCAATAATTGTTACAAAAAAAATTGATCTGAGCATGGGTATTTAAATATAATTTAAAAAATGTCTCATACAATATTTAAAAAAATTTATACTAAATTTTTTCAAACCTTTGCCAATGACGTAATCAATGTCCGATTTATTGACGTTCTGATATCTGTTGACAATGAATCCGTACGATTCGAAAACTTGCTTCAATCGATCCTCATCTTGCTGGCTTCCTTCTCTAGGCTCGGTTTCGTTGTGGAATTTGATCTGGTTGAAAATTATCACTCGTCCGCGCCTTTTCCCGTTCATTTTGTAAGCATCGCCACCTGAAATTTGCACAGGTGCTGGAAAATTTTGACTCGCTTCAAAAGTGCTGGTGCTCGGACTAATATTATCAGAGAATCAAAATTAAAAAATTATAAAAATAAAATATATTAATTTAAAACACACCTGTGCCCCAAAGGATTGGCGTCTGCAGACATTTTCAACATTTCTGTTTGTAGACAAAACAAAAATGAATAAGAATATTTTTATATTTCTGTTTGACAACAACAGGTGACTGTGTGTTCTTTGCTAAATCAGCATCACTATTGTTATACTTTCCTGCTTGCTTGATTTCAAAGACTATAAAGTCTAATCGCATGTTCACCTGTGTTCACCCACAATTTTTAAATTTTTTTTATCTAATCTTTGCAAGTGGATTTCACAGCTATCTTTTTAATGGCGTTGTCAATAATTAAAAAGTAAAATAATTTATTAGCAAGCGAAATTTTTCTTCAATTATAAATTCGGATTTTTTTTATTTATTTTAGTGGATATTCATAAAAAAAACTTCATAACTTAGAAAAGTCATAAATTTTATTTTCTAATTATTGTTCATTATGGTCATGTTTTTTCTAAACTTTTTAAAATTGTTGCGAAAGAGATCATTCGTCAGTTTTCACTCGCTTTGACACCGAAAATGAGATCTTTAGTAAGCCTCGAGGTGAAAGATGGAATCTGCTTGTGCTTTTTTTCCGAAGATTTGTACTCGATGGCCACGGTACCCACAACCTCCGTCATCAAGTGGAAAATGCTTCGCTCGTGACTGTCGTCCTCCATCAGCTTGGCGCAAAGCTCCTGAATGAACCAAGATCCGGTCCCTCTTCTGTGTGCAACGTAGCCTTAGAAAAACTCAATAAGTAATTATTTTTGTTCAATATTTAAATTAAAACCTGGAATGGTGGAGTAGCCGAAGAAGAAATCTGCTTCGCATGGTATGGTGAAGTAGCTTTTGTGTCCGAATCCAGCCGAATCAGTGGATATCTTCTGTCCCTTGTCTTCTTTTTTACCCATGCAAGCTTGGATGAAGAACAATTTGGGCTTCCCGGCTAATGATTTACAATTTTCTGCGGTGAGCATCTCCACCAATTTGATCAGAGAATATTTCTTGTCCTTGGCGTGGAGTAGGTCTCCTTCTTTCCCATGAGTCAAAATTGCAATCGCAACGCAGTCTGAATCGGTGTGGTCAGCTTTGACAATGTCTAAAAAAGAATAAATATTTATTAATTAAAATCCTAGTTGTAATAAATTTTTGATATTTAAAATTTGAAATAATTTTCATTTGAATGGGCCAGTGAAACTCGTTTTATTTTTGCAATTAGTTATACCTCTGTTAATCACGTATTCAATGTCAGATAAGCGCAAGTCATCTCCTATATCAGGGACATGGAAAGCGTGCTTTTTAAAGGCCTTCTCCAGTGCTGCTTTGTCTTTGTCGGTTCCGTTCCTTGGTTCCAATCCGGACGTCTCACTAAACTTGTTGTGGTTGAAAATCAGTGCAACGCCGCGTTTCTTGTAATTCATGTTGTAAAAGCGAGCTTCCTTTTTCGTTTTTATTACTGGAATGGAAGTTGGGTCATTTTGGTTGTTCACCGGGACTCGTGAAGTGAATCTGAAAATTTTTAATTCGGTTTCATAAAATTTCTTGAATTTAAACTGTTTCTAGGTACTAAAGAGAGACAATTAAAATAAAAGTCCAATTGACTCACATTTTTTTTAATTGCTTGAAGGAAATGTCGGTTTCGTCTTGAGCACCGCCGACTGCGCCTTCCAGCTCCATTTCTTCGACTTGGTCATTCACAGTCTCGTTCAGAGGAAGATTGTTGCCGTCACTTTCCATAATTTATCCTTTGAGAAATAAATTGTAGCACAAATATACTCAAGAGGTGTCTGCCAAGTGCCAACGTGGGCTTGTTTTGATACTTTCCGAAGCGAGAAGCGAAATAAACTCCGCCTCTTTTGACGGCAGCGCCGAGAATAAAAAATAAATCCGCGGTCAACCCGCGGCATCTGGAATGTATGCAACCCACGCAACGATTGGCTTTACAATTATCTGACTCTTTCTTCACAAAAAATAGTAATTTGGAATATTTGCCAACTGAAACTGAAGCATTCAATTTTTTATTTGGTGATATTTGATAAATTTATGAGTTTCGCCTGTCACTGGTACCACTATTTACTTTGTTACAATAACAAATATTCACTCTATAAAGCGATAATAGAATTAAGGGAAGTAAGCGATATCTTTTTTTTTTCTTTCTGCCCAGTGACTTTAAAAACTCTTATCGCATGTTCACCCTGTAATTTAATCTAATCATATTGCAAATGCAAGAAAAATTCACGGCTATCTTTTAATGACGTTGATAAAGTTAAAATTGTGCATTTATTTGTTCATCAAATTCACTCCTTTATATTTCTTGATTATCAAAAACTAGACCATGTTTTTCTTCTATTAATTTTATTTTAACATCAACAATTAATTCACTGATTTAGATTCATTTTTACACCAAAAATTAAGTCTTTTGTAAGTCTTGAAGCAAACGATGGAATCTGCTTGTGATTTTTATCCGAAGATTCGTACTCGATGGCCACCGTGCCCACGACCTCTGTCATCAATTGGAAAATGCTTCGCTCGTGACTGTCGTCCTCCATCAGTTTGAAGCAAAGCTCTTGAATGAACCAAGATCCAAAACCTATTCTTCTATGCGATACATATCCTTTAAAAATTTATATAAAATTAGTAAATATATTTTTGGACAAAAGTTGCAAATAAAAGACCTGGAACGGTGGAGAAGGCAAAGAAAAAATCGGCTTCACATGGGATGGTAAAGTAACTTTGGCTGGATTGGTTGAATGAATCCACAGATATTTTACGACCTTCGTCCTTTTTTTCTCCTTTGCACGCTTGGATGAAGAACAATTTTGGCTTTCCGGCCAACGCTGGACACTTGTCAGCGGTGAGCATGTCCGATAATTTGGACAGAGAATATTTCCTATCCTTGGCGTAGACCATGTCTCCTTCATTTCCATGCGACAAAATTGCAATTGCAACGCAGTCGGAATCGGAGTGATCAGCATTCACAATTTCTAGGAAAAAACAGCTAAATTTTAATTGGTTTTTATTGAAAAATAATTCTTTATTAAATACTAATCACGCATTTATAATTAGTTTTACCTTTTTTAATTGTGTATTCAATGTCCGAGATGCACAAATCATCTTCTATGTTCGGGACATGGAAAGCGTGCTTTTTGAAAGCATCGACCAGCGCCGTCTTGTCTCTGTCCGTTCCTTCCCTTTTCGGCAATCCATAAACATCAAATTTGTAGTGGTTGAAAATCAGCGCCACGCCGCGGTTCTTGTTATTCATGTTGTAAAAGCGCGTTCTCTTATTGGAGGCAATTGCGTTGTTCTCCGTAGGTGTCATAACTGATGCATTGGAAAAGCTGAAATTAAATTTCGTGAGAATTCAAAATTATTTTATTTTTTTTACTGAATTAATTATTTCCTTATTAAAAAATATACCATCCACCGGAGTCAGCATTGATTGACTTTTTATTTGAATTAAGACATAAAAGTTTTCAAAGAGAGATTTACATTTAACAATTACAAAAAATTAAAAAATAAGTTATTTATAATAAATAAAATAATTAACATTATAAATTATTGATGTTTTATTAAAAAATAATTAAATTTTTAGATATTTCTGAAAAAATTTAATTAAAAATTCGACTTGAAAGTCCGATTACATCGAAAAAGAAACTTAATTTAAAATTTGGCTACAAAAAATCATATCAGGATGATTCCAATGACTTTTTTTTAACCGCCAAGAGGCAAATAAATCATTTGATAATCCTTTTTAAACACTCACTTGTTTGTAATTAAGGACATATCTGACTCGTCTTGAGCACCACCGACGGCTCCTTCCTGCAGGTCATCGACTTGTTCAATCACAGAATCGATCAGAGGACGATCGTTTCTGTCACTTTCCATGATTGTTAATTCTGATTGTGAGGAATTAAAAACTATATTGCGTATTCAAGGCGGATCCGACGCACTCCGCCTTTATAAGCAGACTGATCACTAAGTGGCCCTGCCGTCGTGGCAGAGTCGAAAAAACTGACGTCAACAGCCCTCTCGCGGTGTGATATGATGTTTTATTAAGCCAGACCGGTTATAAAAAGAGCTCTAGGTCAGCTGACTAATTTAATGAACATATCTTACGGCATCTCAGTAACATTAAATCTTACAATTGGAATTTTAAATTTAACGCTTTAATAATAATAATTTATACCAGCCTAATTTTTTTTTTGCAATCTTTTAAGTAAAAAAATTTAGGAATAATTTTTAACATATATCAGCCTCAACTAGTTCTGCTCTACGGCAAGAGGAATATAACGTCAATTTCAGTGACAAACAATGAACCTAATAATCCATCCGAACATATTTTAATTTAAATAAACGTTTAATTTAAAAATTTTCACTTTTCTAAACCAGCCTGGACTAGTTCTGCTCTACGGCGAGAGGACTATAACGTCTATTTGAGTGACAAACAATGAACCTATATAATAATCCATCCGAACGTCTTCAATTTAAATAAATTAACGTTGAATTTAAAAATTTTCACTCTTGTAAACCAGCCCGGTCTAGTTCTGCTCTACGGCGAGAGGACTTTAACGTCAATTTGAGTGACAAACAATGAACCTAATAATTCATCCATCCATTCGTAGCAAATAGAAATCGGCACTTGAAGAATTATTCAATACAAATTTTTGAGAAATAAATTTATATTAATTTAATTCTGTTATATTTTCGGGTTTAATCACTCTAATCCTAATTAATTTTGATGCATATGATATACAGATTTTATTGTCCTACACTTCAGCCATTTCATGCAAGTAGATTTTATTCATTAATTTTTTAAATCATTTGTAATTAATAATTTTCTTCTATTTAATGCTGCAGGGATTTGCAAACAAAATATAAAACAAAATGAACAAACAATTGAATCACAAATGATCAATGATCAATCAAATGAAAATTTTAATGCAGGCAAATCATTCACAAAATGCGTCATCGTAGCAAAGAAAGATTTATTTCTTCCTACTCTTCGTCGTCAGTTTCCTCAATTTCAAGTTGAACTATTGAGGCCTCGGTCACGAAGCCAAAGCTCTTGTGAGCTGGGTGGAGGCGCACGACCTCGTACAATTGGCCGGCTGGTGTGGTCAAAACCATGCCAATGTTGGCGATCCTGGCAGCCTTGAGGACTGAGGGCCGCGGTTTCGGCCGTCTTGGCGGTATCGATGTAAATGTCCCGAACTTGAACCGATGTCAAACAGGTCACCATGCTTGGAACTGCAACGGTTAAATGTAATTTTTTGTTAATAAAATCATGGCTTTTAGGGAGTTTAGGGAGTTTTATTTTTTTTTTCAAAATTGAAATTTATGAAAATTTCATCAAAGTTCATTAAGTTGTGGGTATCTCAAATTAAAAATTATGTGGGGAAATTTTCAGTAAAATTTACTTTCGGTAGATACCAAAAGCTCCTCTCTAAACTATTTTTTACTCAAAGAAATTAAAAACATTTTAGGGGATCAGATTTAATGAAATTAATAAATAACTTTCAATTTTTGGATGCATATATTTTATTTTTCTACACATCTACATCAGCCATTTAAAGTCTATGCAAGATTTTTTTATTTTATAATTTTTTTGTTTTATCATAGACTAATTATTATTTTTTTTTCAATTCTAAAGAGTATTAAGTATAGTATTGATGCGCTTGAGAAACATGGAACATTTTTTCATATCTTACGAGCTACACAGTCTTTTTAATTTAGATGTTATACACTTTTCTCTGCTTTTTTTTTAATTATACATTTTTATTTTCTCGCTCGTTCGCGATTTATGTGGTAAAAAATATAATACTCATGTCTCAATTTTAAGCTGCTCTCTGGCGGTTTATTTATTTACAGGTCAGTTAAAAATCTCCAGCTTATCGTAGTTTTTTATTGGGCCTCTCACACATTTTTTTTTTTTTGTAAACTATAGGCTATATTTACAAACCTACATTTAAATTATTCTAGCGGCGCAGCTGCTAGACTTGGAACATTTGAAATAAATAATCACATTTTAAATTAATATCACAAATTAAAATTATACAATTTTTTAGTGGAAATTTAAAAATTGCTCAATGGTTAAGAAAAAATAATTTAATTTTGAGCTCAATTAAATTGGTAAACACCTATCGACCAAATTTGGAGTCCATAAAATTACATGATGATGCACTTTTTCTTCTTCTTCTTGTGCATCACTGTCAGCAAAGGTCCCTCGTCGGCCTCGGAAGGGGGTTTCGGGTCAAAAGTGGGCAAAGCGTCGGGCGTCTTCGGTCCGGGTTCCTTGATTGTCTTCTCGAGCCCGGTTTCAAACTCCGGGGAGCTCAACTCTTTGGTTGGGGTGGGGGGACTGGTTTTGGCAGAAACACCTTTGTCGAAGGACTTGTCCTTGGACTTGAAGGTGTAGTGACGCAGACTGCTGAAGCGGTGGCCGCCGTTGCGCCGCGAGAGACGCGTCAGCCGCCCTGGGTGCTCCGAAAATTGCTAAAAATAATTGATAATTTAATAATTTTGTAATTAATAAACTGAAAGTCCCAGTTTAAACGGAAGTTTTAACTTTAAATACAATTCAGGATATTTTAGTTTAAAATTCATTTTAAAACAAAATCATTAGCTTGATGTTTTCAGAAAAAATTGAACTAATTATTTAAAAAAAGGTTGCAATTGAAACGATTTGAGTTCTGAAAAAAATATTTAAAAAAATATTGAATTAAAATGTCTAAAAATGTCTAAATGTCAGAAATTTTTAAAAGTCCAACTATTTCCCAAAATTAAATTTTATGTGAAAAATTGCAGCCTTACATTTTTTTTCAATATCAATTACATTTTGAATGAAATTGGAAAAATTGTAAAGGAGTTAAAATAAATAAAAAGACTTTAAGAAATGTTATATTATTTGATTTTATTCTTGTCACTTACTAAAATTGAAATTTACCATCAAGTTTTATTATTTTTTACTTTTTACCTTTTTCTCTTGATGCAAAGTGGTCACCGTGAATTCAATGTCCTCAGGTTCACAGGTTTTGGTGAATTCCTCCACAGGCTTGTCAATTGTGTCGTGGTCAATCCAAGTCAGCCCCATTTCCACCTTCTCGGCCAAATCCTGCCAGTTTTTCCGATTCTCCATGCAGCCCTCGTAAAGTGGCAGCATCCACGGGAATGTATCAGACAAAACCTGTTTAAGTTAAAAAAAATTCAGTCAATTCACAGTGGATATAATTTCGGTATGGATTTGCCTTGTAAAGCGGCTTGCAAATCACATCGATGAACCCCACTTGCATCTGGGGCAGTTCGTCTTTCCTCTCTCTGTCCATCATGGCCTGAATTTCCATTTTTAAATCACTCCATTCTGAATGAAATCTTTGTGACTCACAATCGGTTGTTGATTGAGTTTCAATTTTTCCAGATCGCCCTGGTCAAAGAACTCGTCTGCCACCAACTTGGCCATTTTGTGCTGGATTTCCCACGGCTTCGCTATGGCACTCACATCACAAGCTGTCATCATCATTCCACACAGCACTGGAATTACAATTTTTAATTAAAGAAAAGTAGTGATGATAAAAATGCTGAATTTATATCAACCTTCTTTTTTCTCCTCGCTCTGCCAATCGAACTCTCCGTTTTCGACCAACTCCAAAAAACTGCTGCGCTTCTTGAAGTACATGGCCAGGTCGGTGGACAGAATGGCCGTCTCAACCACTTTCATCACTTCTCTGTAGTCTTCGGTTGATAGAGCCTTGAAAAAATGTTTAAAATTTAATAAAATTGTCTACAATCAAATTCAAAGTTAAAAAATATTTGAAGAAATTATTCTCTTTAATTTGTGTCTTAAAATTTAAGCGTTGAACTTTCTTCTAAAAAAGTCTTGATGAAAAATATTTGTGAAAATCATCGTTAATGGGATGTAATTGTAAAATAACATTGTTTAATTTAACATAATTTGAAATCCAAAAAATAAAAAATAAAAATACTTCTTACGAGAATAAATTTTCTATGAAATGTCAAATTCTATGAATTACAAATAATTCTTTGTTTCCCACTAATAAAACTTTAATCTTGATTAAGTTTGCAAATAAAATCAAGGTTTAGTTCTATTTTCAACTTTTTCAACTCGTCCAACAATGATCGAGTTAAGTAAATTTTAAGACCAAGATTTTCTTAATTTTTTTTTAACTGAATTGGAGCGATATAAAGATAATTTGATGAATTTTCAGTATTTTTACTTGGATAGATTTTGAGCACAAAGATATTTAAATTAAAAATTCTGACTAAAAGCAATGCTAATTTTCAAAACTTAATAAAAAAAAACTATCCCAGAACGACCTATAAAAATGATAATTTAAAATTTAAACTTAAATGGAAATGAAGCGATCAGGCTTTTCCTTGTTGCAGAAAATTGTTTTTATTCAAAAAACAAATGGAAAACAATTTTCTGCAACGAGGAAAAGCCCGATCGCTTCATTTCCATGATCATCTCCTCGAGTGTCAACTTCTTCAAACAAATTAAACATAAATTTCATTTGATTGGATTTTTAGATGATGAATTTCAATAATCTCTAATTACTGATTTTTAAAATGAATTATTTTTTAGCTCAAAATCTCTTTTTTAAGTTGATTCTAATGATCAAATTTTTTACTTACTCTGCAATAATTGTACAAACTGCCTTGAAAGTTCAGTTTTTATAAATCATTGAGAAATTACGCTCGTTAAAAATTGATTAAAACCGCATAGCCTCTTGATCAGCAGAAGCGAGCAGAGCAAGGACGCGAAAAGTGCTCTCATTGTCAGATCAGACCTTTTGTGTCTAGAGCCGCTGAACGAATCGATACTCAATCTGCACACACGAGTATCAAAACGTAGTTCAGCGAGCTTTTTCGAGGGCGGCTCTAGAGAGGAGCGCTTTTGTTGTAACGCGAATTGCTTTTCACGTGTGTCAGCCTGGGTCGCTTTTAATAAACGAAGTTATGTCTCATTTCCTTGACTGCTCTTAGCGAGGCCGGCTGGTTTTGCCGCCGCCGCCAGCAAACACACAACGGCATGAATAAAAAATCAATAATTGCGTCAACTGACGAGCCCTTGTTTGCATAGCGCCGCTCGCTGCCTTTTTTCATTCCTTGGCCGGAATTTGCCAAGTAAATCTTGTTTGTAGCTGTTTTTGGCAGCAGAGCCACCGCTCGTGTTTTATGCAAAACGCGGCGCGCGGCGCAGGCTTTGCATTATTTACACCCAAAGTCTGCGCGGATAATGGAAATCTAAGCAGACGGAAAATTGTGAAAAGCAAGACCGAAAGGGTTCGTACATAAATTGCGAAGGAAATGGGCGCTTTTGTTTGTTAATGTTGCGAAACAAAAAAATTTGTAAGCTACTTTTTCATTAAAGTTGTAAAGTAAAAATAAGTAGCGTTCCTAAATGCGCAGTCTTTTCTTTCAAATAGAAAATTATGTTTTTTAAATATTGTTCTTTTTTATTTAATTTGAATTTTGTTGATTTTATTTGGTATTTGGGATTTTTACTTGATCTTTAATCATTATTTTAAAGAACACGTCCAAAGCTAACATTCAGAATTTAAAACAAATTAAAGTTAAATTTTCTTCCATACCATTCAAAATTAGTCTATTTTTCTCTATTAAAATTTCATAATTTTGAACATGTTTCTGTAGAAAATTCAACGTACTAGAATTTATAAATTAATGTAAAAGGCAAAATATTATAGATTTTATCTTGTTTTTCTTGCAATTTTTAATTACCTGGAAAATATTGTTGCCTTCACTGTTGAGTATCATCACGCATTGGTCAAAATGGTGGTGCTCCATGGTGCTGGTTGTGTACAGAATGGCCAGGGGACTTTCAGTTTTGGTCTGAAAGGAGTTATTGGTGCCCCTGTGGTCGAGATCGTGACACAGGCACGCCACCAGAAGTCCGAAAATCTTAAATTTGAAATAAAATATTATTATTATTCTGTAAAAAAGCAGAGAATAAAAGGATTTACTTCACGTGAAGCTCATTTTTTGATCAAAATTGTAAATTTTTAGAAGTATTTTTGCCATTATTTTTATTTAAAAGTTTCATTTTATTAATTTATGTAATTAAAAAATTGATTTTTTTCAATTCAAGTCAGTTTGAGTTAAATTTTTATTCAAATGTTCAAAATTTCATCCCAATTTTTCCCTATTTTTGATATGAAAATAAAATTTTACTTGTAAATTTAAAAAAATACATTTTTATGCTGTATTAAACAAAATATTAAATTAAGCTTTTAATTTAAAAATCTAATCAAGCAAATATTTTCTTTGCTCAAAGTTGATTTTTCAATTAAAATGTTCAAATTTCTTCTCATTTTCAAAATAAAATAAACAGTTGAAAAGATTTCCTTTACCTCGAGATCCTTCATGAACTGCTCCATGCGGCCCGTTTTGAGCATGGCGAACATTGTCTGGCCGACGTTGAGCGCGTGCCTCCAGTTGTGGTACTTGACCGGACGGTAGTTCTTTTTGACGCTCAGCACCCACCTGCACAGCACCTGTTGAGCACACACAGAGGTGAAACAATTGCGTGCGGAAGCGAGCCAGCAGCAGCCGAGAGAGCCGCAGCCGATTAATTATGCACGAAACCCACGTGGTACGGAATGTGGAAACGGTTGATCAAGTTGAGCTCCATGAACATCCGCATGCACGCGCGACACGTGTCGTGCTCCTCTAGGTTGAAGTCGATAAACGTGAAACTGTGGAATAAAAAAAAAATAAGATGGGATTATGCAACCGGCGTGACACGACGGTTGCGCGGGTTGCATTTTTTGCTATGACAGGCGTTTCAAGTTCCGACTAGGGCTGGGAAAGTCAACTGTCTGACATTTTATATTTGCATATTGGAATTAAAAAAAAACTGATCAAAGCAAAGATTTTAGAAAATTTTAAAATATAAAGTTTTTTTAAATGAATAAAAAGAGCAAAATTAAATTCCAAACATGAAGAATCGGTAAAATAATTTCACGAACGTAGAAATTCATGATAATGGAATTTTCCTTGTTGTATTATTTCGGTTATTTCAGTCGATTGTTGTTTCGTAGAAGGAAGCAGGATATTCTGTTTCCAAGAAACAACAAATGACGCATAAAACCCATAGAAAAAGCCGATTTCAACTGAAGCATTGTTAAAATTTTGGTTGAGGGATTAAGGAAAAATACTCTCTAAATGAAATGAAAAGCTTGCCTTTTCCTTGTTGTTATTGATGGGGGGGGGGGGGGAACGAGGAAAAACAGACAATTTTAATAATAAAGGCATCGGAAAAAAAAATTGTAAGAGATTTTTGACGTTTGATTTTTTTTTTAATAATGGGTAAAATGTTGTTATTTTTGATAAGTGAATTGATTTTATTTTAATGAGATTAGTCGATTGACTTTTCTCCCAGCCCTGATTTGCGTTAGATTTTATTAATAAAATTATTTACCTATACAAGTTAAAAGTTTCCGCAGAAGGAATTTCCTCTTTGTTGAGCTTTTCCGTGTCCTCTCTCGAGGCCGCCGCGTGGTACGACAGACATTCAAGAGCTACTTTTTGTTTCGCCATTAACTTGCCTGAAATTGTTTTTCGTTAGTCTAGACGGAAAGTAAAGTGGCAGAAATTTACTCGGATTTAAATTACATAAAAAAAAAACAATTTTTTTCCAATTAAACAATTAATTTTATTTAATTATTCTAATGATATTTTTTTAAATTAGCAAGAAAAGAGCAAAAAATTCATTTTTTGTACTCACAAGCGTTCTCGTACATCTGCGTATTGTGAATGCCGAGGCCGCAGAAAATCGCGAACGCCTCGAATATGGAAACATCACAGTCGGTGAATGGCGTGCCATTCGTCTGCACACACAAAAGGCAAATACGTCAAGGTGAGAGCAACAGAGATTGTCAACAGAGGGGGGCAGGAAAAGAAAGATTGCTTGATTGGACAGGCGAGAGAGATACGAACGGACCTTATTGATCAGTTGGGCGACTCCGATGACGCTTTTCTGCCCATTGACGATGGGCATGCACAGGATGCTGCGGGTCACAAAGCCGTCCTCCTCCTTCACTTCTTGCTTCATCCACGACGACACGTCGCCAATGTTCAGGATCTGAAGCAATTAATTATTTGCGACTGTTTTTTCAAAATGGTTTAAAATTCCAGATTCAAATTTTTTTCAAACTAAATAAAAAAATTAAAATTATTTTAGATTGTCGGTTTTTTAACCAAAATTTGCAGTTTTTAGTTTATTTTTGTTATAAACAATTGAAATTTTTTCAACATTTTTCAATTTAACATATTATTTGAAGTTTAAATAGCGGCAATATTTTGATCCCTGATTTTTTTGTTAAATATTTTTCCTAAACATTGAAGAATAACTTTCTTTTGTTTTACTCAATTTTGTAATATTAATGAATTGGAAAATAAAGTAAATTTTGTGACTTTTTGTTAAATTTCTTACCTCATTTGTGGCCGCGACGTATTTAGCAATTTGCGCCAAAGTGGATTTTGACAGTTCTAACAGCGATGGCCGATGTACCGAGCCGACGTCTTCGTTAAGCTTGAGCTCAAAGACGGTGTGGAATTGGATACACTTTTGCTGGTAAACGTCCTCAATTGACAAATTCTTACTCTGAAAATGGCAGGCAAATCATATTTTACAGTTTTCAGAATAAAATAAATATTCTTTTAAATAATAGTGATTTCATTAACTTAATGAATTTAATAATATGAAAAAGAGTAAAAAATTGTATCAATATATTTTTGTAATTTTTTATTTGGTAATTTAAATTTACAATCAAAATGTAGCAAAAATTCCAATTTAAAATATTTGAAGAAGCGAGAACAGTAAATTGATTACAAATTGATTAAGAGTTTAGGTCTGTGAATAAGAAAAATAAGATATTTGATAAATTAATTATTTATAAGTAAATAATAACAAATTAATATATTTAAATTCATAAATATTATTATGTAATTTATGTTTCGGAAAACTTTAAAATCTTCGTAGAAATAAAAATACTTTTTGAATAAAATTCGGATGATGTGGCTAGAAATGTATATCTAAATAATCTCTAGTTAAGCCACATTATAATTCATGAAATTAGTACATTTTAGCGAGAACTTTCCAGGTAACTATGCACGCAAATAAGTACACGCAACGTTCTGTATTTTAACGTAAGCTCTCACCTCCCTGCGGAAAAGGGGTTGGCTGGGTTCTTGTTCCTCCGAGATGCGCGGCCCCATCAAGACGTTCTCGAAGTGGCTCTGTGTGGGCAAAGCGAGCACAAATTAATTCCGCACGCCTAATTGCGAGAGAGCATTACGGGCTCTGAGCAGTCGGGCAGGTCCTTCAGGAACACGTTGCAGCGCTCGCATTTGAGCAGGTCGCGCGCCTCCTTCATGATTTTGCTCACCAGGCACTGCAGGTTGTTTTGCTCCTCGAAAATGCTGCGCGCCAGATTCAGCAGAATCTGAGCGACATTCGCAAATCGAGATTCATTTCAATTTTAAAGAGGGAAAAAATGTTAATTGAAGATCAAATTAAAACTATTAAACAGTCTATTAAAAGTCTAAAATAAAAAAGGGATTCGAAAAGAGGATGAAATAAAAACGTTAAAAAAAGACAAAAGTCTAATTGCAGGTGAACTTAAAAAAAAAAAAAATCCAAAATAAGAATTTAGAATTAAAAAGGCGGTTTAAATCAAATTAAAACTATTAAAAAAGGAGTAATATTTAAAAAAAATTAATACTCTACAAAATCCAAGTGAGTTAGGAATTAAAAAAAAATAGTCAGGATCAACTCCAGCTCAAAAAATATACAAATTTTAGATTGATTATGAAATTAAAACCGCAATAACTCTTAATTATTAAAAGTAAATTCAGTAACTTGTTTATTAAAAAGAACAAAATTCCAGTAAAAACAATAAAAAAAAACCGGTTATATTTAGGCTTTGGCATGACCAAGCTTAATTAACTCCTAAACTATCGGAATCTGATATGAAATTTATCACCTGGTTCCTTCGGTACTCCAAGACAGACATCTCGAAGAGCTGAGCGTTTTGAATTCCGATGCCGCAGAACGTCAAGTACCTCCGAAACACCTGCGGTGCATAAAGACACGTTAAATCGATTTTCATCTCTCTCAGCAACAGGCGGGAAAGCAACTAGAAATTTCCAATGCGCAGCGCTCCGGAGGGGAGCGGAATTAATTCCGCTGGAAATCGGCTTTCCGAAGGGGTTGACGGTTCAATTAGCTACGAACCTCGACGTCTCGCTGCGAGAATTCCTTGGATCCATCCGTCTTGTTGATGATCTGCGCCACGCCGATCACCTCGCCCTCGTAGTTGCAAATTGGCAGGCATAAAATCACGTCGGTCTTGTAGCCCGTCTTCATGTCGATCTCGGCGTTGAACCGAGAGTCCTTTGAAAAGAGAGAGCAGGACGAACTTGTTAGTCTTTGGATCTTGCCATGATTTGCATTTCCAACATCGCTTGATCCGAGGAAGGATAATTGAGTGAAAAGAAGAAAGATTTTCGCATATCATAAATATAAAATTATTAAAGGGGGTTTTTAAACCTTCAAAATATTAAAATCATTTTATTGAAGATGTTGATAGATATTTGTATAACATTCTTAACGTGCTCTTTAAAATTATTATTGGACAAAAATTGAGGGAGTAATTAACTTCAAAAGTTTCTTAAGTGGAGGGGGTAATTATAATGGCTGCCGCTTGAAAAACTTTGAAAGTAAATAATTTTGTCAATTTTTGATTGAAAATAACTTTAAAAAAAAGGTTTGAATCGTTACGAAAAGATCTATCACGATCTGAAAAAAAAGAATTATAATTTTCTAAAAGTTTTGTCATCCTTTAATTTAACCAAACCAATTTTTAATATTATTGAATGAAAATAGTAGAGGTTTTTCCTCCCCTATTTAATGACCAAATAATATTTTGTTTTCTTTTTTAACTACCAATTTAATTAATAAAAACTTTTTGAAACGAGTTGTAAAAAAAGTTGCCAACTTTCGCAATAAATTTAAGAAGCTCACGAAACACAAATAAAACTTTTGCAAGCAGAAATGGTTTTTCCTCTCATCAGAGCGGCAGCGGGAAAGTTTCTTTATGGTTGAAGACTGTCAAAGTCGGCGAGAATATGGCTCGAAAGTTCGCTCACCTCGTAGGCGTTTTTGATGTTGATCACTTCTTTGCTGTGCGCCACGCTGCCTGCGATCCCGAGGCCAAACGGAATCCGGATTTCCTCCGACTGCACCCTTTTCACCGCCTCCTCCAGTTCTGCCGTTCCACATACGGGTCAAAATATATCTTTGTTAATAATGGGGCGGTAAAACTTTTGTACATTTTTATGAAAACCAATATAAAATTCCACAATTATTTTTACTTTTAAAAGTTTCATTAGTAAAATATTTGCCGGAGTAATTTTTTATTTTTATTTCTGTATTTTCTTTGAAGAAATTTAAGTATAGCTTTTCGATTAACAGAAAAGGTCCATTGGATCAAAATTTTCTTTTCTTCATCTTCTAATTTTTAAAACACTAAATTAATTGAAACTGTGAGAACTAGTATTCTGCATCATTCGAAATGATTTGAAACAGTTATTTATGATTATTTTTGTTTATTTGTCCACATTCTTATTAATACATTGTTTAATTTAATAATTTCTTTTATAAATTAACGGATGTTTGTTTTTTTATGTCAATTTCGTTAAAACCAGTGTTGACATTATTTAGCGCCTGTGTGACAAAAGGGGTTCGACGTGGAATGATTAATTGAGGGACGTCTGGCTCCCTCAATGATGATCAACTTTGGCTTGTGGGTCCCTCTAATTATTGATAAAGAGATTTTCCGATAAGGCGATTATCTATAGTTAACGGAAATTCGATGAAAAGGCAAAAAATGAACTTCGTCTTTTCCGTTAATTATGGACCAACTTTCAATATAAAATTAATTAACAAGTTCCTCGCTACTGAAAGCTCGTTTTTGTGCAGCTTAAAATTTAATTTTGTCCTACCTGTTTCAACGGTGACGTCAAAAAGTTTGGCCACCAAATATCGCGCCTCCCTGGGTCCTCTGGCCAGGAAAAGGGAGCCCCTGTCCGCGTGCGTCAGCAGCTCCACGTTGACGAGGATTTTGTGGCAGAGGACGTTGATGTCCAGCTCGTTGGCCACGTCCCTGATCAGCTCCATGAACAGCTCGTTCTCGTCCAGGGTGGCCAGGTTGCGTTTCGACAGGGCCGAGACGCAGTTGTTGATTTCGCCGCACATGCTGATACTTTTTGCACTGAGAGGACAGAAAGTAAAAAAAGGTCAATTAAAGGACAACTCCGGTTAAAATTTTCATTCTTGAGTACGAAAGAAGACAAAAAATCATGATTGAAAGTAAAAAATGGAATTGAAAATTTTGCGACCCTTCAAGTTTAAACTGATTTTCTAAATTTCCCGCCAAAATGATTTAAAAATTTGAATATACCAATAAAAAACCAAGTGAAAATTGAACGAACTCTTTAAAAAATTCAAATTTAAATGCCTTTTTGTGGCAAATTTTGAACCTCCTAAAAACTGATTCCTTCAAAATCAAAAAAATTTGTCACGATTTACTGGCTCTGGTTTTTTTTCTAATTAAATTAAAAAGTTAATTATAGCAAAAAATTGAACCCTTCAGTTTTTAATTAAACAATTTTTTGTTATTGAGTGCAACAAAAAATTTCATTGTGTCGTTAGGCATATCTTCTTTGCCTCTTTAACTGAATAATTGCTTTAAATAATAAACTTTAAAGCATTTTTTTATTATTTATTTTCGATGAATTTTGCATACCTGGAGCTTTTCCTCTGCGGCGACGTTATGAGCATTTGGAAAAGGTCTGACGTCACCGAGTTCCGCTTGCTCCGCGGCATGGACCGGATGGGCGGATGCTCCTCGGAAGCCTCGTCGTCCGAGCAGCCATTGTTGAGGCTGGAGCGCTGCTGGTGCTTCTCGAGCAGCGTCGACAGCAACTTGGAGTCGCCATTTTCGACGAGCCAGCGACGCACAAAGTCCGGGTGTTCTTCCAGGTACCTCTCGAGGTTGCGGTCCTCGTCGCCCTCGTTCATTTTTTCGATAGCACCATCTTGAGCTGTTCGAGAAAACAAAATTGAGGAGAAAAAAAAATGAGAAATTTTTACAATTTTTCACTTTTTAAAATGGATAATTTATTAATTTCTCTTATTTTATGCCTTTTTCTTTTGCGTGTCTCAATTAAATTAAGTACTTTGAGGAAATTTATTTATTTCTTACAAATTTACAATTTAATTTTATTTTGAAACATTATCTAAGTAAAATAAATTTATATTAATTTCGTTTTTTTTTCAACCACATTTTAAAATTAAATATCAAAATTTTTTAATATAAATTTCCCACTTTTTAGCTCAACTAATCATTTTGATATTAAAATAATGCGTAATAAAGATTCAAAGAACTAGTTGCGAGGGAACGCCTGCCGAAGCCCCGTTTATGCAACCGGCTGCTCGCGGACGCTCGGCAAATTGCCTAGTTCCACTGCTGCGTGTGTTGGAGAGCTTGTTGCTCGCCCGCGGGCCGTGCTAACGCCGGCGGTCCCTTGATCATTTCATCTGCGCCACCAAGGCCACGAACACTCACACCCGCCGTGCTAAGCGCATTACTCGCATTAGTCGGATTGCTCGAGCTGCGACACACAAAAATGGCCCGCATGCGGCGCGCATATTTACGGACACGAATTAACCAAATAATTTTGTTTATTATTTATATAAATTTTTTTAGACTGAAAATGAAATGTTGTTATTTAAATAATTCAATTCATGATTAACAAAAAAAGATTAGCCACAAAATTATAGCCTTTTTTGCTGGCCAAATATATTCGACTAACTTTGTCGGGTTTTTTTTCAGTAAAATGATGATTCTGAGTTATTATTTTCTTATAAAAGCAATATTTCATTAATAATTAATTAAATAATTTTATTTTTAAAAAGAATTTGAACCAAAAACTATTCAATTGTAAACTGGAATCAATAAATTAATCGGTTAATTTTTTCTTTTCAAAAACAACCTAAAATAACATGAAATTTCATAATTTATGCTTTTTCGATCTTCAACCAAAATCACATCTTGTTACCATTAAACAGAAAACTCTTTTCAAAATTTCAAAAAACAATAATTTTTGAAACATTAAAAAAAAGCTTGATTTAAGTTTATAACCTAAATTTTTAGCTTCTATCAATTTGTTTTTAAAGAAAATGAATTGGATCTTGCAAAAAATTTTACTCTGAGAAAAGGTTTCTCGTTTAATTGGTATCAAAAGCAGGTAATATAACTTTGATATCACGAGTACGTCTTGCCAATAAAATACGCAGTGAGGCGGAGTCGATCGGTTCACTTTGCGGTGCTAATTGAGGTCGCGCAGTCCCAGAGCGGATTCGCATTTGGCTCGGCGGTTTGATTTCGCGCTTCGCAAATCATAATTAAAATGCACATGGATTTCGCAGAAGTCGCTTTGAAGTGGTTTGTCGATAGATTGATTGACACGGCTCAATTCTAATTTACTTTGTGTTTGCCGAGAGCGAAACTCTCAGTCGGAGAGGAAAAGGTGCTCCTGTGCGCTACTAGGGCGTTTGTGCAATTTCAATTAGTAGAGAGAGAAGAGAGGTAATAACTTCCTAGTTAGCCTTTTAGCAAAAATTTAATTGAGTTCACTCCCCCCTTTATTAATTACATGGAAGGTTTCCATTTCAACTTCATTTATTTGAAATTGATGTATAATAGAATTGAATTTTTTTAATGATTTTGTTGAGAAATTTTCTGTGTAAAGTTGTGGAAATAAATGTGATACTTTTTAATGAAAATTGCGGAAAATTGTAGCAGAGCAATTAATTAACAAATTGAAATATGAAATAACAAAAAATTATATTTAATTTGTAACAGAAATAATGTGTTGTGAATTTTGTATATTTTTTGGAAATTCTAAATTTGAGGAAGAAATAAATTTTTCATAAAATTCCATACGTATGGATATTCTAGTAAAATGATGATTATTTTGACATGCAACTCAGCCAATTCTCATTAAAATTTATTTTTTCAAAATAAACCATTATTAACTTCTCAATCCTAGTCGTTTAATAGCAACATTCAAAGGCAAGTACAGTGAAAAGAATTGAAATTGTCTTAAAGTTTATTGAATTTTTGCCCTAAAACAAGCTACAAAGATTATTTAGACATGCAACTCTGCAAATTCTGATTAAAAAATTATTTTTTTAAAATAAACCATTATTAACGTCTCAATCCTTGTCGTTTAATAGCAACATTCAAAGGCCAGTAGATTGAGAAGAATTAAAATTGTCTTAGAGTTTATTGCTTATAGGCCCTAAAACAAGCTATAAAGATTATTTTGACACGCAAATCAGCAAATTCTCATTAAAAGTTATTTTATTCAATTTTTTTAAAATATACTTTTATTAACGTCTCAACCCTAATTGTCGTTTAAAAGCAACATTCAAAGGCCAGTAGATTGAGAAGAATTGATTTTGTCTTAGAGTTTATTGAATTTTTGCCCTAAAACAAGCTATAATGATTATTTTGACATATGCAACTATTTACTTTTAAAAGAAAAATTATAAAAAAAGGATTTAATATTAATATTACATGTTTAAGATACAAGAGAAAGTTTGTATTTTTGTTAACACAATTTAAATATGACAGAGGCTGTATAAATTATTATCCAATTCTTCCCTTCCAAGTGATCCTTTTAACATAAAAATAATCAAAATATTTCATTGCACTAAAACAATAATGGAAAATTTTAAAAATTTTGATTTCAATGTATAATTTTATATCAGATTTAGTTTTTTAATGCATTTTTAAGCAGTTATGTCAATTTACATAATTTATTTTTAAATAATTACTTTTTTAATATTTTAATTTAATAACTTTTCTTAACTGGTTTATAAATCACACAATTTAAATTTTTTAAATCCTTTTATCTCTTTCTTTCTCTTTTTATGGCCGCAGTAAAGAATCAAGAAAGGTTAGATAATCATTTTCAGCTTCTTCTCCTTCAGTGCGAACGAGCGTTAATTTTCCCCCTTACGGGCGCGAGTTGCCGGAGAGGTGTTGCAGTAAAAGTGGGCCGGCTTTGCTTGCACCGGGGCCGAGGACAATACATAGATAAACTAGACGCAGCAATTCGGTTTTATATCGCATGCAGCCGAGTGGCGAAAGTGGCGCGCGCGAAGGTTAGAATCATCTCTATAGTGCGGTGATGAGGCAGAGAGCTCTGTCCAGGGGACTACGAGTATCGATCTCTCGCCGCCAAAGTATATTTCAACCCTTCTCTCTCGCTCTGCTCTCCCACTTTTAGCGAGAGATTACTCGCAAATTCACTTATGTTTTTGTGGGCAGCCAGAATAAGAGACGGTCTCGAACACGCCAGCAGCTTTAATGGACAACACCAGCGCGTTTTTCGGCCCCTTTAAATTATTCGCATCGGAAACGTCGCCACTAGACGGGGACTGCGGGTTTTAAAGAAGCACTTTTGACGAAGTTGTTGGACAAAACCTTTGAGACTCCACAAAGAACAAAAGCAGAACAATTTTAATAGATTAGAAGATAAAAAGCAGAAAATTTGAAACATCAAGAAGATGTGCTGTCTTTTTTTTTTAAAAAACTTTTGAAATTGAGGTCTACTGAAATTTGAACTTATATTCAGTATTAATTAATTCATTTTTAATTCATTTTTCAAGGCTCACGGTCACATCTCCGCTTTAATTTTGAGGGAAATGAAAAAATGAATCAATTAGGAGATGAAAAACCAAATAATAGAATCATCTTGGAGATAAGCTGTGTTTTTTGTGAAATTTCTGAATTTGAGGTCTAATGCAATTTACATTTATTTTTAGTATATTTTCAAGGCCCACGGTCAAATCTCCGCTACAATTTTGAGGAAAATAAAAAAATGAATCAATAAGGCATTGAAAAACCGAATAATATGAACATCTGAGGGATAAGCTGTGTTTTTTGTGAAATTTCTGAATTTGAGGACTACTGCAATTTATATTTATAGTCACTATTAAAAATTCTTTTTTCAAGGCCCACGGTCAAATCTCCGCTTCAATTTTGAGGGAAATGAAAAAATGAATCAATTAGGAGATGAAAAATCAAATAATCGGATCATCTTGGGGATAAGCTGTGTTTTTTGTGAAATTTCCGAATTTGAGGTCTAATGCAATTTAAGTTTATTTGCAGTTTAGAAAATTCTTTTTTCAAGGCCCACGGTCAAATCTCCGCTTCAATTTTGAGGGAAATGAAAAAATGAATCAATTAGGAGATGAAAAATCAAATAATCGGATCATCTTGGGGATAAGCTGTGTTTTTTGTGAAATTTCCGAATTTGAGGTCTAATGCAATTTAAGTTTATTTGCAGTTTAGAAAATTCTTTTTTCAAGGCCCACGGTCAAATCTCCGCTTCAATTTTGAGGGAAATGAAAAAATGAATCAATTAGGAGATGAAAAATCAAATAATCGGATCATCTTGGGGATAAGCTGTGTTTTTTGTGAAATTTCCGAATTTGAGGTCTAATGCAATTTAAGTTTATTTGCAGTTTAGAAAATTCTTTTTTCAAGGCCCACGGTCAAATCTCCGCTTCAATTTTGAGGGAAATGAAAAAATGAATCAATTAGGAGATGAAAAATCAAATAATCGGATCATCTTGGGGATAAGCTGTGTTTTTTGTGAAATTTCCGAATTTGAGGTCTAATGCAATTTAAGTTTATTTGCAGTTTAGAAAATTCTTTTTTCAAGGCCCACGGTCACATCTCCGCTTCAATTTTGAGGGGAATGAAAAAATGAATCAATAAGGATGTGAAAAACCAAATAATATAAACATCTAAGGCATAAGCTGTGTTTTTTGTGAAATTTCCGAATTTGAGGTCTAATGCAATTTAAGTTTATTTGCAGTTTAGAAAATTCTTATTTCCAGGCCCACGATCACATCTCCGCTTCAATTTTGAGGGGAATGAAAAAATGAATCAATAAGGAGATGAAAAACCAAATAATATAAACATTCAGAGTATAAGCTGTGTTTTTTGTGAAATTTCTGAATTTGA